GGGGGTGGGGAGGGAGTGGGACGCGCCGCGTCGCAGCTCTGCTGCCGCCGCCAATGCCACCACCACCACTGTGGCTGTCGCTGTCGGCCAGACCTTAAGCGGCCTTGGCCCAAGGAGTTGGGGGATTGGGGTGAGAAGGGGTCTGCCATTCTAAGCACAGGGAACTAGCCTGACTAGCCTGAGTTCTGCTTTCCAGTGACCCCCGAGAGAGGATGGGGGGGAGGGGCCTGCGCAGCGCAATATAGCCCACTGCAGAGAAGGGACACCGAGTCACAGCCACCCCCTCCCATGCGGGCCTCCGTCAGACCTAGACCCAAACCCAGACAGGCCCGCCCGCCACCCAGCTTGGTTGTCTCCTACCGCAGAGCCCTGGCCGCAGAAGCAGGAGAGGAAAAGAAGGTGGTGCGGTAGTAACCCTTAGCTGCAGAGGGGGCTGCTGGGGATGAGATCGGGGCGCCGGCAGCAGTGGCGCGGAGCAGCAGACACCTAGCCCGTCTCTCCCCTCTCCTTCCCCTCGCTCCCGCCGCTCCCCCTCCCCGCGCACGGCAGCGGCTCTGGCCTCAGATGATCCCGCTCCCCCTCCCCCCAACCGCAGCCCCGCACAGTCGGGCGGGCGGGCGCACTCACCGGCGGGGGGAGCCAAGCGGAGGACAGTAGCCGCACCAGGGCTGGGGTGCCCGCAGTGCCTATTCCAATAGGCTCTACCCTTAATCCCAAATAGCAATCAAAAAGAAACCCCACACTCACCAAAAACCTGCAACCAGCCCCCCCTTGGGACCACGGATGCCTGCTTGCCTCCCCCTCCTCCTTCGGAGATTTGGGGAAGGGGGGCACCCTGCTCAGGGTTGAGCCCAGCCTGGGTTGCTGGCCAGCTCTGCGGATGAACCAGGCCCTGCCGGGCATTCAGACCCTAGCCCACTCTTTTTCCTCTCTGGAAGGACCCAGAATGGAGGAGAAAACCAAGCAGGCTTTCGGAAATTCATGAGCTAAAAATGTCAGGAATTTCCTGGGAAACGCAGTTCCTTACGGGATTCATTAAAGCAGGTTCGCTTGCCCCTTTTACTCTTCCTTCCTAAGTGTCAAGGAGGGCCTCCATCCCCCCCAAAAGTAAAACATTAAATGATCGCTGGTTTTAATGCAGACAGTTAGGTTACCGACCATTAATTAACCAATGACTTTTTGGACGGTGACAGCTAAAGGGGATCTTCTCTCATAACAGAAAGAGGCTGAAGAGTAAGAGGAGTCTCAGAAATAATTGGTTTCTTTCTTCCCAGATCTGATGCATAATCTAGGCCCTATTTTCCAACTCCCAGATAGGTAGTGAATGCTTATAATTCCCTCACTGCAGTGTGCAGCCCTCATAGCTGTGAGAAAGCTAAGGCCTATTTTCAGGGAACCCCTACCAATGCCCCCATACTCCCCATCACGTTCTGCAGGGGGCTGAGCACACAGATCATGCAGTCTTAGTCCTGGCTTAATCAAGCAAGGATTGCTGCCTCGATCCATCTGCGGTTTTCACTCCCATTGAACATCTCCTCCTTTACTTCAAAAGTAAGGAGATTTGCCTCCCCCACTCTTAGCTATTGAAACAAAGTGACTACATGGTTGCCCAAAAGTAAAGACTAATGATCAAAAAAGTAAGCACAGTCTAGAGGATAAGCCTTGTCATTCCCGGAACACTCAAAGTCCCCTATATATCCTTTCATTTTTGGGGCAAACCTGCCTGCTAGGTAGACCTGACTTCCTTTTTCTTTTAGCAAGAGCCCCATTCTACTCAGCATTAGCTTCTTCAGCTCTGGGCTGAAGTTCACTAGCTCTCATTAAGAGGAAGAAACAGGGCAAAGAGCCCTGGCTACCAAAGAGCTAACTGGGGTAGTCCTGTGATACAGCCTCAAAACCATGCACCTAGGTCTAGTGGTCTCTGAAATGGCTTCCTGAAGGGGAGGTTCACTCTGTGAGATAGAAACCCAGGCTCTGGGCCCCACAAATAGATTTTTAATTTAGGGGCAACCTTTAGCAGTATAGGGTCCCTCAGTGCCTTATTTTCTACAGTCTCTCCCCTATCCCTAAGTCAGTTGGGAAGGATACACAGGAACTTTTAGAGTGCTTCCTACCACACAAAAATACATGTGTGAAGAAGCAGTGTCTTCTCTGGGCTCACACAGCAGTGATCAGGACCCTGGATAGACCCCGAATGTAAAGGCTGAGTGGCAGGGTCTCTGCATAAATACCAACTGTAAACTAAGGCTAAGTTATGTTGTAGTCCGATCTAGAAAGGGCTGCTGCTCTTCCTCAAGGGTTTCTCTTATGATAAACCAAACTCTTCTCCCTTAATGAGAGAAACAAGATCAATGAGATTTTGAAGGGGGCCCGCTGGTCAGTCCCTGCCATTCTTCAGCGCCCAGGATGACTGTACCAGGGACAGACGCCTCGGGCTCAAAATTGCCTAACTCCTGCCTAACTTTGGAGCCTAAATTTCTTGCTTTCCGTCCCAAATGTTTATGTCCAGTAGTTCTGAAGCAGTTTGAGTTTGGGAATGCCTTGATTTGAGAGAGAGAGAGAGAGAGAGAGGGGGGGGGGGGGGGGGGGGGGGGGGGGGGAGAGGGAAGCGACTGTCACTAGGAATTTATTAGAGGCAACTAAGTTTTAGACAGAACATAAATTAAATATTTGCACACTTAAACTGGGAGTTTTAAATGAAAAATCAGCACATGACTGAGACCTGGATCTTGTCACATAAATAGGTACTTATTTTATACTACTCATCGTGTATGTGTAAGATTTCTGCCCTTCTATGCCAGTTTCTCTCCTACTTTATACATGTATCCAAAAAGTAACAAGATTAATTAATGCCTTTTCCAAAACAGTTCAATGATAAACTAGATAACATATTTTCATTTCTGAAGCAAGAGTGTTAATTTCAAAATAAGTCTGTTAGTGTGGGCTTTTTCTCAGACTAGGAAGAGGTGGCTTCATCAGACTACACGTAAAGTAGTCATGAAAAGTAGTCTAGGAGGAATGAATATTAACTTGTAGAAAAGTCTGAAAAAGTTTAGGACCTTGAGTACTGTAACATTGAAGAGTCATTATAATATTGTGGATTTGAAAGACTACTAGCCATTTTATTAGTTATCTAAACAATATACTAATATACTCGATGAATGAAAAACCTATTCTAGTATTCAGCTGTTTGAATTTGTTACTTTAAAACAAATAGTTGTAAAACTAAATTTACAATTTCTTTACAATGCAGGAAAGACAAAAGGGAAACGAAATATAACGTGCAGCTAATTAATATGCAGCAAAATAACCATGTTAATGAAAAATCATCAAAAAGAAATATTCCCTTTCTCCTAAAAATTTGCTTACATTTAAAAACCTGATAAACATCTCTAGATTTTTTTTATTTCATTAATACTATATACACATTTTGAAGAGCACAGAAACTGCTTTATTTTTAATCTCACTATGTATTTAACAAATTGTTACTCACAAAAAAAATTTTGCACAAGGAAACAGACATTAGGCAGAACAAGGAGGAAAAAGGTCTAAATTTTTCTCATCCTGAACTACAGGTGATTCAGAAATAATCCAATTCAGCTTTGTTTTTCTTAAAATCAAAATCAACCCACATTTATAAAATAAACTTGTGAAAGAGAGGGTATCTACCTTTGGGTAGTTAAACCCTTTGGATTATAGAGTTCCCAACAGAAACAATATGGTAATTAGTATTTTACGAAAGCACACATTTCCAAAATAAAAGTGAACACTAAAACTTGTTTTCAAGGGCTACTTGTGCTAAACCAGACAATTATTTTCAATATCCAATCATTAAAATTAACATGAATGTTGCACTGTAAATGTTCAAAGTGGAGGAATTACCCATTTCTTCTCATGGCTACATTTATCAGGAAAATTAAGGAAAACCCTGAAGTAAATCCTAACATTTAACAACATCATCTCATAATACCAGCATTTCACAAATCATATTTAAAAAGCATGTCCCCTTTCTGTAGCTCACTATTCTTGAAAACTGTGCCTCTTCAATGCCATACTAATGTTTAGAATTAAAGATATGAAACATTTAAAATCTGAAGAGAACAATGCATGTGATTGATCCTTTGCATTCCCTAATGTTTTCATTTTAAACATTTGCAAAAGAGTTAAATAAAATTAACACACATTCTAAATTCGATAAAGATTCAGAAAACCCGACATTTGCCCAAAGGTCCAAACAGAACCAATTTAAATGTCAAAAGCTTCCTCTCTTCCGGCAGGTACTTAAATTATTTTACTAGTGCTGTACCCAAAGGAATGAAATCAGCAACTCTCTCCACACTCTAGTCAACACTCCAATTTCCAAAGCCGCAATTCGCAAACGTCAGTTGGGCGGGGGCATCGGGGGTCTAGAAACAATCCCCACATTTCCTTTTCCCCTGACAGTCTACTAAAAGATGTCAAACCAAATCCGACCAATCAAGCCTATTGTAAAGCACTAGGACTACCCTACCAAGGACACGGGACACAAGCACAGACGTCAAGAAAAGCTTTCCATAAGCCCCTGGCCCGACAGAAACATAAGGGTCCCAAATGAAAACGAAGCAGAACCGTCAAGAAAGTCCCGAAGAGGCAACGCAAATGAAGGTGGCATTTATTCTGGGGTCGACAGCTACAAATCAAAGTTATCCAACCAGTCTCTCGGGCCTCTACCAAAGTTCAGGCTTATGGCAGAAATACTGGTCGGGTTCCTTCCCTTAAAATATCATAGCCCACTGTCACTCAAAGGGAAGACCCTCCAGCTTCGTATCAGTTCCTTTTGCCCCCGAGCAAAGGTAGAAGGGGTTGTCGAGCTGACCTAGCGCTGTGGGCAGTAAAAATGCCTGGTTCGGGCCACCCATCCTTGGGCCTGGCTTCATCTGCGATGTCAGCATCAATGGGGGGTTTTTGTTGTTTTGCTTTTTTTTTTTTTTTTTTAACAACGCACTCAGGGTGGGTGTATGCAATGGGTTGGGGGGTAGATTTAAAATAGAGGAGAGGAGGAGTTCATTGGTAGTGGAATCTAAATTACAGAATCTTCTTTTCTCTCCCCTCCTTCCTGTGTCGCCGTTCAGGGAGTGCCGGCCACGTCTAGCGCACTGTCCCAGGCCCCGAGGCGAAGTCTGGGGAAATGGGGCTCAGGGATTGCTAAGAACATCATTGGTGGTCTCCAGCGCCTGCGGATGTAGGATTTTTAAAGGGGAGGGATGTTATTTTGTTCTTTTTCGGAGGTGGAGGGGGTTTATTCGTTCGTCGCTGCGAAGCGCGGGGGGGGGCGGGGGGGCGTTGCTACACCGCCTAGGTCCCCGAGATGAAGGGTGCGGGGATGTCTGCAATGGTACGATCATTATTCTTGGGCTGAGAGGGCAATTAAAGGGGACGGGGTGGGCGGCTCCTCCAGCTGTGGCAGCTGCGGCAAGGAAGGTCGCGAGGGGCTTACCCGGGCGGGCGGGCGGGCGCTGTCCTGCCGCAGGTGAGGGAGGGCGCAGTCTGGAGGGAGGGAGGGTGCGCGCGAGGCAGGCGCTTGGCTGGCGCGAGGAAGGGGGGAGGGGAGGAGGGCGCGCGCGCGCACACCTGTCCTGGACAGCGGCGCGAGCCGAGCTGCGCCTCACTCGGGCTCTGCGGGCTGAGAAGGAAGGAGGGCGGGCGGGGGCGGGACGCCGAGGGGAGGAGGAGGAGGCGGCGGCTCGGATGGCTGGCTCGGCTCTCGCTCGTTCTCCCTCCCGCGGGCAAGCCCGGCTCACACCCTGCTTCTCCCGCTCACTCACAGCCCCCTTGGCTCTCCCTCCTCCTCCTCCTTCCCCTGCGGGATCCTCTCGCCGCCGCCGCCGCCGCCGCAGACGGCAAGTCGTGGCAGCCAGACGTCGGCGCGTAACCCGGCGCTCCGTGCGTGACTCCAGGCGACGTCAGCGCGCGCTCCGCGCTCCCCACCCCCCTCAGTGGCTCGCGCCCTCCGCTCTCGCGTCCCTAGGTTTCAGTTGCAGCCACGGCGGCCGCTGAGCGCGTTCCCTCCGCCTCTCGCGCGCGTGAGCGCGCCTTCCCCGGCGTTGGCGCGTCAACATCCCGGGCCCAGGCCTTGGGGCGCGTCTGAGGAGGGTGCTGTCTGGAGCCACTTTGCTCGCACTTCCTCCGCGCACAACCGAGAGACCTGGGAGAACTTAGATCTTTGGGTTTCTGAAGGCCGAGGCCAGGCTCAGGCGGGAATAAAACCCCAAAGGGCCTGCGCCAGCTCCAGCTTAAGGCCCACGGCGTCGCTGCGGTTGCAGCCTTCCCTCATCACACGCTCCCCTCCGCCCCGTCCCTCTGGCGGCAATAGGCCTTTCATCTCTCGGGAGGGTCTCACCTTGGCCTTCGGACACCCGCGGAGAGGGACTGGAAGGGCAGAATTAGCATAAAGAAGAAAGAGGCTAGACCGAGTTCAGGCTTTAGCCTCCGGAATCCTCGACAGGAAGTGTGGGGTTGCTGCCCAGCCTCCCACGCCGTTTAGGTGAATCTGGGCCCCTTTGAGGGAATGTGACTAAGGACAAAACTGATAAATATTATTTATGCGTCCTTGGGCCGATAGATAGAGAGCAAAAGGGCTGAGTTAATTTTCATAAATGGCTACGCAAGGGCAAAATGCTGAATTTTAAAATGTCCTTTAAGACAGATTTATTGAAATAAAGCTTGACAATCCTTTCCTTTTATGTATGATTATCCTTTCCTTTTATGCTGTCATATTTCACTTTTACAGTACTATATATATAGAAGTAACGTTGATCAGCTAACAATTCCTCAAAAACTGACTTCATCAGGGCTGGGGTTGTGGCTCAGCGGTAGAACTCTGTCTTGCACATGTAGTGAGGCGCTGGGTTCAATCCTCACCCCCACATTAAAAACGAATAAATAAAGGTATTGTGTCCAGCTACAACTAAAAAAAAAGTATATTAAAAAACTGCCTTCATCATCTTTGTAGTTATTTAAATCTCCAAGAACTCAACCCATGATTTTAAAAAATTAAGACTCAGCCCTAACTTAAATAATTGACTATATTTTAAGTTACATTATAAATACACAACAAAACGCCCTTTTCTTAGGCAATAGTAGACTTTTTATTTTTAATTAGTGCATTAGAGTTAGTGGGGTTCATTTTGACATATCCATAAATCTAACATTTCAATCCTCAATAATAGACTCTTTCCCTTTCCTCAATAATAGACTTTTAAACTCACTAAACTTCCAAGAAGTTCATCTAGTGAATCCTGAGAGGGAAGTAGGATTGAGGTGTGATTTATCCCATTTTATAGATGAGAAAACTAACTTACCAAAATGTAAGTTGTCCAGAATTTTGAGAAGTGTTTCATAGGTGAAGGGGAAAGCCCAGATCTTTTGCCTACATTGTCAACTGAACCACAAATTCTTCAATTGGGATTTCTTCCAGGTTTCTACTGATGCTCCCTTTTATATATTGTGGGTAGTGCTTAACTGCTGAGAATCGTAGAGCGCTCTGAAAGTTTTGAGTTTGAAATTTTCTGCCTTAGAAAATCACAATAACAAAATACCCATCCCTAGTAAGAGGTGAAAAAAGGAGACTGGTTTAAGAGTGATGGGTCATTTCCTTTGAATTGCTTCATTATTCACCTCATCTTTAGGTGGCAGCACTACTATATAAATATCTTTAAAACTACATTCTTCTGCAACTTGATATCCTAAGAATATTTTGTCCTCAATGCTTCCAATTGCAGAGATTCAAAGCTGATGAAAATATGAAATCAGAGCTGAGAATTACAACAGGTTCTAGAGGAGCAAAACCACAAAAGCTATGGAGCCTCTGAGGGGAAAAAAATTTAACTGTGTAAGAAGTAGCATCTTTAAATCTGGTCTCTTATTGAAAACAACACAATACAACTTTCTAGAGTAAACCATGGTTTCTCAATGCCTCATATTTATAAAACAAGTTTAAAGTTGCTAGTTGTATAGTTGCCAGTTCTCTAACTAAAATTTTAAAATTCAGGTGCAGTTTTTCCTCATTAAATACCATCAAGCTTATAAAGATTCCAAATAAGACTCATTGACCTTGTTGAAGAGAACTCAGCATCTTTCTTGGCTTTCCTATATTGTTCAAATACAAAGCAAACTGCCCTCACTCAAATTTAGAAAAGACTGAACCAGATGTAAAATGGTAGCAATATCTAGGTAATTTTGTATCTTAATCTCTCCTATATTTTTGAGGATAATAAATTATGATACATGGAAGTTATTTGGGTTAAATATTTTCTTTTTTTAATAACTTTATTTTGCTTATTTATTTTTTTATGTGGTATCGAGGACCAAATCCAGTGCCTCACATGTGTGAGGCAAGCACTATACCACTGAGCCACAACCTCAGCCCTAGGTTAAATATTTTCTAAGTAGAATTTTGTTATAATTAATTTTGTGTGTTTACAGTAGTTCTTCCAGTGCCCCTTTACCCAAGTAACCCAATAAAATTGAATTTATGAGCATTTCAAAATAAACTGCATTAGATTTGCTATGTAAATACAAACACCAAGGAATATAGAGGTATGACAATCAGGAGTGGGAAATCAAATTATTTCTGCATAGAAGATAAAGTATTAATAGTTTTTCTCAATGATAGCTTCTATCCTTCTCAAATCAAACTTGGGGGAGGAGTCTTAAGCAAATTGGTAATTCTTAAACTCATGGGTATTATGTTAAGATTTTTAGGCTCTCTGGTGCCAGCAAATCATGCAGCCTGGGGACCTTGCTCCAAACTTCTGCCAACACCATTTTGGCAGTAAAATGTTCTGTTGAACAAAGTTTGCACGTGTTTGGGGTGTGAAGTGGTTTCTCAGGCATTTTTCTGGTTTTAGTCCAGTTTAGGGACTTGAAGACAAGGGTCAGAAACCTGAAACTTATAGAGCTCATATGTGTTTAAAACAGACTATGCAAGCAATTTTGAATTTTCATTTAGGGGAGGAATAGATTTTTCTTTGTTGATGTGGGAGTTATTGAAATGAATCTTTAGTTTGCTCCTAAAATGCTATGATATTCAACTGGTTCTCAAAAGCAGGTAAGTAGGCCCTCTTTGTTGTGGGAATAGAGCTGGGGAAAATTATTCTTAATCCTTCTACCTAAAATCAGCAAAATCTGTTTATTCAGATAAAAGTCACTAGATAACAATGTGCAACTTGAGAGCAAAGGGAACAGTTTTAAGCTTGAGCTCATTGATCAAATTTTATGTAATTTATGATCCTCTGATCCTTTTTTGGTATAAGTTATGTGACTTCATCTTTTGCCTCACAAACATCCATCCTGGAGTCAATAGTTTATTGCACCTGACACAGATGTATGTGCTAATTCATCTTATTCCAGGGGTTCTTCTTCCTGTTGAAAATATTTGTGTGTGTGTGTGTGTTTACTGGAATTGAATCCAGAGGCATCTTCTTCCTGAGCTACATCCTGAACCCTTTTTTACTTTTTGAGACAGGGTCTCACTAAATTGCCGGCCTTGAATTTGGGATCTTCTTGCCTTAGCCTCCTGAGTTGCGGGATCCAGTATGCCCCGACCATGCCAGGTTTGTAATCTTAATTTACTTTATTTTTTCAAGTAATTTAACAGAAAATCCTTGCAGAGCCTGGGATAACAGTTTGAAAGCCATTGAAGTCCTGATGGAATATTTTTTTCTTCCAATTAAGAGGAATGAAAAAGAAAAAAGTACAAAATTTTCCAGGCAGGGTAGCCCATACCTATAATCTCAACACTGGGAGGCTGAGGCAAGAGGATTACAAGTTTGAGGCCAGCCTGGGCCAGACTACAGCAAGACCCTGTCTCAAAATGAAAAATAAAAAGGGGTAGGGATGTAGCTCAATAGTACAGGACCCCAGGGTTCAATCCCTAGTACAGAAAAAAAAAGAACAAATTAAAAATAACATATCAAAATGATACTACTGTCTTATATTTGCCATGATCAATGGTCAATTTGTAGGCTTACAAGTATGTTAATTTGAAAATAATGGTTAATTTTGATACTTTTTCCAAATGTGTCCCATTTCTTGCATCTTTCCATTTTCTTTCCTCCTTTTTAAAAGCAATTCAGGTATCAGAACTAAAATGTGAATGAAGTTAGAGATGGGCCTTTCAAAATAATGGCTTTGGGGGCTGGGGTTGTAGCTTAGTGGTAGAGTACTTGCCTAGCGTAGCATTGGGTTTGATTCTCAGCACCACATATAAATAAATGAATAAAATAAAGGTCCATCAATGTCTAAATTTTTTTTTTAAATAGTGCCTCTCTCTGGACTGAAAAGCACTATTGGACTTTGTTGCACATTTTAGGGTGATCCCAAAACTCCTTTGCTTGCTTACTTTAGAATATCAATGTGTTGCCATTTTACTATCTGGATCAAGACTAGATACATACATACATATATTCGCCCTTGACTTCTGAGGCCATGGTCATGTGTGGTATGTTGCAATTAGATGAAGATGGTAGAATTTCTATCTATGGTTAAAATGTGTCTGGGGAAAAATCAAGAGACTATTCCAAGTGAAAAACACAAATTAAGTTCGTTATTATTTTAAAAAATATTTTTTAGTTGTAGATGGACATAATACCTTTATTTTGTTTATTTTACTTTTATGTGGTGCTGAGGATTGAACTCAGTGCTTCACACGTGTGAGGCAAGCGCTCTAACTCTGAGCCACAACCTCAGGCCCAGTTCTTTATTATTTTGTATGGTGAAATTATTTTTATCTTTTGAGTGTACTTTTTCTTTCTTATTTTTAAGTTGTAGATGAACACAATATCTTTATTTTATTTATTTATGTGGTGCTGAGGATTGAACCCAGTGCCTCATATGTGCAAGGCAAGCTCTCTACTACTGAGCTATAACTCCAGCCCTTGAGTATACTTTTTCTTCTTGTTTAAGTACTCAAAATTAATTATTAAATGTAATAATTAATTTTTATTTCCTAGATAGTAAGTTAATATTTAAGTATGTCTAGAATGAAGAAATGTTTTTAAGTCACTATTTTGGAATATCATTAATAGATATATTACATAAACAGAGTACAGCTGATGTTTTAAAAACATTTTTTGTCTTTGAACTTCCTTCTGAGAATTATGTATAAACCACGTTCCCTATTTCTATAGCATTCATATTCATCTAATCTACTTTGGAGAAGTTTTAAATATTAGCTGAGTGTGGTGGCAAATATCTGTAATCCCAGAAGCTCAGGAGACTGAGTAGCAGGATTTCAAGTTCAAACTCAGTCTCACCAATTTAGTGAGACCCTAAGCAACTTAATGAGACTCTGTCTCAAAATGAAAAATAAATAGGGCTGGG